CCTCGGGAATTTTTAGGATCTTAACCAAGGTCCACAGCTTTCTGCAACTCAGGTGTGCACCAAGTTCCCGTTATACAGCGTTCCTCCGCAGTGTGGGTGCAAACCGCTGTACGAGTCAACCATTGTTTTTCCAATTCTTTCTTTACGCATTGTGTACATAGGGGAAACATGAGTTTGCCACCAATGTGGACGGGGAGTTCTGGTTGATACAAATGGGGTAGTGGGAGAATCTTGACTTTTGCTGTACCAAGGTAGCTGCCAATATCTTGATTTGTTGGATTGACCAAAACCTCGGGGTGACCCACTGGATACGTTTTTGTTTTGTTGACGTACGGGTAAAGTGAATTTCGTCTCTTGCTGCTGCAACACAATGTAAACGCACTCCATGGGTTCTACCACCAAAGAAGCTATCTCTAGGGTTCAATGGCTCAGACAGCTGAGAGGTCTTCAAAAATTCCATGAGAGTGGGGTTTGTTTTCTTCTTAATCTCAAAATCATGCTCCCATTTCTCAATCACCGTATAGCCTGCTTGACGTAACTTCTGTGTCTTTTTACAGGTGGCTTCATAGATTTCTGAGATGGCACGATGTGGATGACAATTGTGTTTCCTGTAGCGATGGTTTGAAAAACATTTAACACACCCGCGATAAAAGCAACCATGAAATGCATAGACCGTTTTGGTAGTTTCGTCATAGCCATCGACAAACAGAGCCTCGCCTTGTGTGATCACCTTTTCCTCTTTCACGTTGCGGACATGGCGTAGTTTATTTCCTCCTAGTTTAAAATCTTCAAAACATAACCATTCTAGTGCTGCTGTACTTTCATTCACATTAGCACCACACCAGCCATTTAATGGCTCTATGGCAATGGTATCCTCGGGGATAAGATCTCTTCGCCAGAATAAATTGCATGCAGAAGCAATGGTGGCACATTTTTCTATAGGATTAAACCCTGCTTCCTCTTTAAATTCTTGTATAAACTTTCGACAGGCAGCTTTTAAGACCATTACATCAGAATCTCCCAATGCCAGTGGCATTGGGAGAAAACAAAGTGAATCTTTGCAGGTAATCATGGCGTTCAGATACCAGTAATGGAACTTCGGGGTTTTGGCGCCCGTCGTAAGCTGGTTTTTCACCTTAATACCCTGACGGTAAAGTTCCTCGATGATAAAGTTGCTATCAAAACCCTTGAGGTTGTGAAAAATTATAAATAAATCGCGCTGTTTGTCTCCCACTTCTGTTAGTTGATTCATCGGGTCCATAAACTTTTGAATGCAGGTTTCGCCACTAAAGGCATGAGAAACATTGTGTGGATCTTCTTCAGTAGCATATCGAATCAAATCTGCTATGAATAAATGCTTTCCCTGCTCTGTGGGTTCTATCAAACATTCGTATCAGCAAACACCATGAGAGGTGGTAGCTTCTTTTAGTCGTCATCATCATCATCATCGTGTTCCTCATCGTCTACATCTTCAACACGTTGAATGTAACTTTTGAGGTTGTATATTTCCCCAAATTTATGGCAGTAACGGCAAGTGTCGTGGTAGCATTTGTGAGGCTTCTTTGGATTCACTTTATAACCTTTACAGCATTTTAGACAATTCTTTAGTTTCTGACAAAGACTGACTTTTTTCTTGCCGTTTGGTTCTTTATGAGCTTTGAAACAATCTGGACCATAGAAATCACGCTGACAGTCATTGCAGTGAATTGTACGTTTCTTGCCTGAGGAAAAATCTAGGCAACCCCCTTTATTTTTCTGAGAACGTGTTCGTTGACAACTTGCGCAGTTACGTCCCATACAAGAATGGTTTGCTGCGTCGTCTACATCGTACCCTTTACAGCAATAAGGGCAAAAGTACGACCGATTAAAAAAAGCAATAATGCTTGTTAATCCATTGTAGTGATTCTCGTGTTTAAGCAAATAAATGACTTTGCTGTACTGATGTACATTGCCTTGAAAAATACAGGCACAAGATACGTAATCAACCACGATGATTTTGTAGCCTTGGGGTCCTAGAAACGTTTGAAATTTTTCTACTTCCTCAAAGCCACAGGGACCCTCTGGTACCCCTGCCTCTTGGTGAAGCTGCTTAGCTAGGCGTTCTTGAATGGGTCTTCCATCTCTTAGATTTCTATATTGCTTCTGAGGATCGCCGTCTACGTACTCGTTCATTGTTACGATGTCACGAGCACAGCATAATTCATCTGTTTTTGATCTTGATCATACAATTTTTCTTTTTGTGCATTAAATCAAAGGGTAATCTGTTTGGATGCTTAGAAGCTGGACCTTTGCCACCTTTCTCAGGGTAGGTGATAAACGTGAGAGAGGCATTGAACCCAATGGCTGGATTCATATTTTGAGCGCTATTCATTTTTCTTGCCAGTGACTCAAACATAGCATGTACATAATCACCACGGTGTACAAACTCCTTCATGGGAATCCCATATTTCAAATGGGATAAGTATCCCGAATTGACAGTGCCGTTTGAATGTTCTTTTGAGGTTTAAGGCAGATGAACTTTTGTTGAATCCGACAGGTTTTCGTTTCGTATTGTTTCCCTTACCGCTTCAAACAGCGACTCTGACAAGCCCTCTCCCAAAGATTCCTCTTCTGTGGGTTTACCTAACCGGTCAAACGTAACGGCGAATTGCTCTTTCTTGACTGCTCCCTTTAAACCTTGCCGTTTGTATGGTAGAAACGTGAGATTTGCTTTGAACAATGGATTCTCAGGCAGCTCTAAACGATTGGCTCTCTCTACCAAAAAGTCGTCCATTCCCTCGTCTATCAGATCAGACATGTCTACGTCCTCTTCTAAGTTTCTTTTAATTGCCCGTGGTTCGTCTTTCAAAGGTTTAATGTCCTCCTTTGCACTCTCGAGGTCTTTTTTCATACGTCTAGTACACACAGCTCCGCCCTGCTGACTTTCATCACTGACTAGTGTTGGAACTTCGTCTGAATGCAATAACTCAAGGCGTAATAGTTCAGCCGACTCTTCTGCTTTTCGCTTTCCTGCTTCGGAATGGACGTTACGAACATGTTTCTTCAAATCGTCTTTTCTTGAATATGTCTTATGACAGTGTAGACATTGAACGCGATGCTCTGAAGCCCCACAACGTTTCTTATGACGAAAGAAATTTCCCCTGTTCTTGATTGTCTTTCTGCATGTAGGACGGGCTCGAGGATACGTTGCTTTGCACATGATCGATCTTTACACAAGGACACAATGATCCCAAATGATTTTTCATGGTTGATATCCGTCTTTTATACCTGTTCTAGTCAAAAGAATGACCTCATCATCTAAAAATAGAAACAATTTCTGCTGAATCAGCAAATCGGTAGGTGACGTCACTGTGGCCTGTCCAACTTTAACCTGTTTTATTACCATATCCACTCAACTGTGACTTCAAGCGAGGATAAGTTAGCACTGCCCTCGACTGATTTAGCCCTAAGCACTGCGCTCGACTGATTTAACCCTAAGCACTGCGCTCGACTGATTTAACCCTAAGCACTGCGCTCGACTGATTTAGCCCTAAGCACTGCACTCGACTGATTTAACCCTAAGCACTGCGCTCGACTGATTTAACCCTA